CTGGTGGCTAACAGGGTGAACGCCCCACAGGCCAGGCTCGGGTGTGTCATCACCCTGCTTGTGCCTCAGTTTCCCCAGCAGCAGCACACAGTTTGGGGCTAGAGCAAAAGCAGGGCAACACGGAGCACAGTGGCCCCCTTCCACAACTTTTCCGACCCTCTCCATTCCCCCAGGCTCCCCCCTACCCTATGCAGCTGTTCCCCCTGCCAGGCACAGCCAAGGGGGACGCCCGGGGGACAGAGTCCCAGCCCCACCAATCCCCTCCACGGCCCGTTACCTCGCATCCAGCAGTTTGGGATCCAGTGGCGGGTACATGGATCTCACCACATCATCCACCCTGCGACAGGGGGGACAGGGGTCAGTTCGTGGCGCTCAGCATCCAAGGGACCCAAGAAAGCTATCTGGGAACTGGCTTGACCCCACCATCCTCCACATGCCCCTGGCATCGTGGAGTACTCAAGCACCCTGCAAAGAGGAGGCTGGCACCCATGCCCCTGCCCCAAGCATACTCACGGCCTTCCCAGGAATTTGGGAGCACAAATCCTCACGTGGCATCCAACACCCAGGCTCGGGCACCACGCAGGGCACCAGGCTGAGCGCTCTGGGCTGCGGGAGCCAGCGGCCTGCTCTGGGGGGATGCAGACACCACAGCCAAACCATGGCACTCGGGTCTGGGATCACTCCGCATTTGCTGCCATTTAGCAGCATCTGGCTCGGATACCAGCGGGACCCAGGGCCGCCCAGGTTGGCACGTGGATCTCCAAGGCCCTGTTCAATCGAAAGTGGGGAGCCATCGGCTTGTCCCCTGTTGTCACGGGGCCGGTGGGTCGTGGACCTGGGTGATCCCCCAATTGCATCACACCTGGGTGGCTCCATTCTTGCCGAGCAGCCCCAGGGAGTAGAGACCCTGGCGCCAGCCTGAGCTCTGCATCACCAGTGCCACCCTGGCCAGCCCCCTGGGTCCGGCCACCCCTCCCGCCTCACCTGGGGCTGATGCGCTTGGCCACCACGATGATATCGCTGAGGCTGGCGGGTGATTTCACACGGGCCCCTGAGCCCATGGTCATGGCCACCAGCTTCTCGGTCAGCGTGTGGCAGATCTGCAGGACAAGAGCAGGAGACGGTGGGAGCCAGGTCTGGGGCAAAGGACCCACTCGGCACTGCTCAGCAGCGGGACTCACCTTCAGGATGGCGATGCAGTGTGAAACCAGGCCCCTGCGGACATGGAGGAGGGCATGAATTTGGGCAGAGCTGCATCCTCACCCTGTGCATTGCCCCAGCCCTGAGCCTAATCCACCCCCCATCCCAGGGGAGATGCTGGCAGCCCCTTGGCCAGCTCCAAACCAGCCCGGGGGCATTTCCACTCGGTCATGCCCTGGGTGTTGCCGATGCCCGGGGAAGCCTCTGCTCCCAAGACCTGCAAGGGGACCACCAAGTCACTCCTAGTTTCCAGGACCAAGAACTGATTTCTCCCAAGGGGTGACTCAAAAGGGATTTTGCACCAAACCAGGGAGCAAGACAGGGCAGGGGATGGGAGGGCACCCAGCAGAGCTGGGCTGGGCCTCAGGGCCCCAAAATTTGGGTGCTCTGACTACTGACACTACCCCCTGCTGCGGGAAGCAGCATTTCTTCAGGGCTGGCTGGTGCCGGGAGGCCAGAGTGGGGCACTCGGAGCGGAGACAAGCTTACGAGGCGTCTTCAATCCAGTCCTCGTTCTCCAGGATGGCCTCGATGTGGGGGTTGGTGATCACCACGTCATCCAGCTCCAGCTCAGAGGGCTCTGACTGCGTCTCCATGGCCCCGATGAGATCCACGATGGGCCTGGAGCGGGGCACGGGGCCACCTCAGCACCCACTGCAGCCCCACGCATGCAAAAGTCAGGGGCCAAGCAATGGCATGGGGCATCCAGCCACCTTGGCACACTTCCTGGAGCCACTGGCTCACTATGACGGGCAGGATGGACAAAGGAGAGGGGGCACTGGCACCCAGGGCACCCATCGGTGACACTTCTCCACCCTTGCTTGGGGTCTCCAAGGCATTTCCAGCCCCCAGGACCCCTCAACTTGGAGGAGGCACCTTGGTGCAAAGAAACCCAGCAGCACCCCACTGAACCCAAGGGCTTGGGGCACCCACCGCCATGTGCCCCAAGCTGCTGAGCTGCTGTGGGCTGGGGCACCCCGTCAGGGGGATGAGCCTGGCCGAGCAGAGGGATGTGGGATCCCTTCGGATGGAGCCACCAGAGCCTGCAAGGTCCCCGAACCACCCCCGCAGCACCACTCACTTGGTGTCGTAGTGGTGCAGCAGGTCCTTGGGCCGGCAGTAGCGCTGCCGGCAAACCACGACCAGCGCCACGAAGGAGGCCAGGAAGATGGTGGCCAGCACCCCGATGGCCACGATGACGACAGTTTCCATCGCTCTGGCTCCTTCACGCGCGTGGCTCCATCGCAGCGCCCTCGGGAACACAGTGGCTGCGAAGCAGCAGGGAAGAATTCCGGGGAGGGGGGGGTGGGGGGCGCGGCCGAGCCAGCCGCAGACCAACAAGCCGGGAAGCCGTTTCACGAGGTCCGTGGGAGGCGTTGCCCACCCCGGCCCCACCATTTCTTGCCCGGTTTCCAACAACTTTCCCAGCCTTTCTGTGGCAGGTGAGCACGGAAGAAGGGGCTAATGCGCAATCCCTCCAGGGGTCTTTGTTTGTCCAAAGCTCTTGTGCAAAACCTGTGTGAGGAGGGGGGGAACAGGACATGGCGGGGGGGGAACTGTCCCTATCCTGGCACTGTGCCCATGGTGACAAGGGGCTGCGCCGAGACTGGCATGTGGGAAGGGGGCAGGAATTGGGCTCAAGCTGGCCAGGCCCTGGCCCCATGAGGCTGTGGGGACACTGGAGCCCAGGCCATATGGGGCTGCGGGATGCACACAGCCCTACCCCTATAGGGCTGTGGGGATGGCCCAGAGCCCAGGCCAAATGGGGCTGCAGGGATGCCGAGAGTCTGGCTAATATGGAGTTGTGGGACACCCAGAGCCAAGTCTATATGGGACTGTGGGGAGGCATACAGCCCAGTCTATATGGGGCAGCAGGGACACCCAGATACAAATCTATATGGGGTGGTGAGGAGACCCTGAGCCAAGTCTATATGGAGTGCAAGGATGCCCAGAGGCATGGCTATATGGGGCAGTGGGGATGCCCTGAGCCAAGTCTGTATGGGGTTGCGGGTACAGCCAGAGCCCAGTCTATACTGAGCTGCAGGGATGCCGAGAGCCTGGCCTATATGGGGGCTGCAGGGATGCTCAGAGCCCAGTCTATACAGGGTCACTGGGATGCCCAGAGCCTGGTCTCTATGGGGCTGTGGGTACACCCAGAGCCCAATCCATATAGGACTGCAGGGATGCCAAGAGCATGGCCTATATGGGACTGCAGGGATGCTCAGAGCCCAGTTCATACTGGAGCTGTAGGGATATCCAGTCCCAGTCCCTATGGGGCTGCTTGGACCCCCAGAGCCAGCCCAGAGCAAGTTGCAGGGACCCCGTGTCCCAGTCCCTGGGGTGTGGCAGGACATTGAGCCTGGCCAGGGCCCGGGAGACGCCGGCCTGGCGCACTTTGGACCGTCTGCGCCTCCGAGCTCCCGCAGTGCCACGCGGGGCTGCTGGAACCACACGGGGGGCATCAGGGGACCCCCATCGGTCCCCCTTGGTCCGGCCGGGATGGTGCGGGGGGGAAAGCCCAGCCCTCCCTACCTGCTAGCTGTGAGTGCCTGCGCCGACGGGGACGGCGCCACTTCCGCACCCGCCAGCCTTGCAAACACTGCCGGCTCCTGACCTTTACACCGTGACTCACGCTCCACCCTTGCCGACTCCTTGGCCCTTGGCTCCCAGGGGGGTGCACATGGCCCCTGTCCCCTCTGCTGTCGCTCGGTGGGGACCCAGCTCCCCCGGTGCAGGGCTCCTATACACCTCTATCCCTCCTTGCCGTGCAGGGTGAAGGGCAAAGCCCCGCTTGCCCCCACCCCTTCGCCTTGCACCAATGCTCTCTGCAGTCCTGAACCCTCCAGCGCATCCCGCTGACCCTCTTTTTTTTGTGTGTGGGGGGGGAATCCTCATTGAATTTGAAGCCAAGCTGGCCACTTTGGCTGCCCTATCTGGGGGCACCCCAGCTCCAGCTCCCACGTAGGGCACCAGTGCAGGGCCAGCGTTGCACGGTCCCACTCACCTTGTTCTCACCGTGGTTCTCATTGGGATTAGTGCCTTAATACCCTGCACCCCCCTGCCCCTGGGAGGATTTTGGCCACCAAAGCTGATTCTGGGCTGTAACCCCTTGGTGCCTGCGCCAGGGAGGGAGGTTCAGACCCAGATGCTGGGTTGGGGTTGCTCCTGCCTGTGCAGCGCCAAGCGCCGGATGGGCTGTGTGCCCCCCAGCCTGGCAGTGCTGGGGGAAATTGCCCCTTTGCACTATAGGGAAGGGTGTGGG